AAATCGACATTCTCATCTTATTGTTTAAGTGATATTTAAAAACAATATGAATGTTGTTATCATATGCATGATTTATAGCTGGCCGGAGTATTGACGACCTAGTTGTTGACAACCTACGCGTAAATGAAGGGGACAGCGCCGTCTTGCCTTGCTTCTTCTCGCCACCTAACGCCCACATCGGCAAGTGGTATTGGAAGACGAATGGAACTGTCATCATAAGATCAGACGACCCACCAAAAACAAACTCGAGGTATTCATTGGGTGACTCAACGTCCGGGAACGTTAGTTTGGTTATTAAAGACGTGTTGCGATGGGACAAGGGTACCTATACATGTGGAGTGAACGACCAGTCTACTGGATCAACCGTACCCCATTCCGATGACAGCAAATTAACAGTAAACTGTAAGTGAATACCAGCATCACCTTTAATAATACAAATTTATTATTACAATACAGTGTATTATTACAGTACATTTATTATTATTTGGCCGATACCGGTAGTAATTATTTTTCATTTAACTTCACAAAAAGAAATCATCAACATCATCATCCATAATAGACATATCAACATCATTATCACATTTATCATCGTCGGGATCATCATCATCGTCGGGCCTATCATCACTATCACGATGATGATGATCACCATAATGATTATGGTTATGATTTTTTTATCAACAGATCTGGATAAACCTAACATTCAGGCACTAACCGACACACGTATACCTGAAGGTACGCGAGTATCTATGTCGTGTAAAGTAGTGGCGTCATATCCGGAAGTAAATTTTCTGAGGTGGTTCCATGATGGTGACATCATAGACACTGCTTCTGGCAGATACTTTTTCTACGATGAAATATTAGAAATAAAAAAATTTGATCAACGTCATGAAGGAAACTACAGTTGTCGGGCTGAAAATGAATTCTTTGTCGGTAAAAACGGAAAATATAGCAATTCAATTGCATTCAGTTTGAAAAAGAAAGGTAGGCTAAATAAACAGGTACTGGTACTATTGTATATAGACTACAAAACAATTTACCTCAAAGTGTTATAATAAATTGTATTTGAAATATAATAGATGATGTTATTAGATTAGTATATCTATCTGCTCAACAATAACAATAACGTGCAACAACATGCCTAATTATAAGAACAACAATAATAATAATGATAATGATAAAAATAATGATAATAATAAAAATGATAATGATATTAATAAAAATGATAATGACAACGGTTGCGGCGACGACGACTTAAACAATAATAACAATAACAATACACAGTAATTATTTATATTTATCCTCTCTTTTTTTTAATGTTTTTGTCTCCTCTTTATTTTCCTTCTTCTGTCCACTTTTCTTTGCAATCCTTCCCATTTACTTGGAGAATATTGTCCTAGAGAGGTTTCTAAATGTTTTCCTTTATAATTTTTTGTATCGTTTTTATATGTTTATTAAATAAAAGTTATTTATAATAGTAATAACAATAATAGGCATAAATATAATAATAATAATAATAATAATAATAATAATAATAATAATAATAATAATAATAATAATAATAAATCAAGATCAATGTCTAGGTAATTTGTATCCGTTCTCAGAAAAAATAAAATTGCATTGCGTTATTTTAAAAAATTCTAATAATTAATAAAGAATTATAAAATACGGATTAACCTTAAAATGTTTAACACAAAAATAAACTAAACAAGATAATCTGAAGTTACAAACTCTCGCCCTGCTGTCGCGCCATATCTTTGTATCCGCTGGTTGTATTATAGGGGTATAATATTACAGGCTATACGTATCAGGTGAAATGTGGCCAAGCGGTAAAGATGCACATTTTGTGTGTAAAGATAATCGAACGTAGGGGTTGAAATCTCACTTGTTCGAGCCAAATGACTCGAACGATCCACTCGAGTTGGCTCTGTCAGCTGCGACAAAAGTATATAAATAAATAACGTTCTAACATCTATATTCTACTTCTTTCTTACATTGCATTAATCTTGCAGTGTTCCTGAAACTAATCACTTTCGAATAAAGTGGATGACTTCTGTCATTTAATACAATTATAAGAATCCTGTTCAGGTACTCGATATCTGGACACCAATATACGGACTACTGACACCCGCACCCACCATCTTCTTAACCCTTCTTACCACCCGATCAATCTTTCCTGACTTCCAAATGTTAACAAAAATGGTCTTACAATTATATAGCTTAATTAATTTTTTTATACAGTTGTCTGAAGCATATTCTCGAAATAATTTTCATAATTGCGTTATCAAGGGTTACTCCACTTCAATGTTAAAAGAAATAAAAAATATAAGTTTCTATTCTATAATCTTTTCAATAATTATTATTCTACCTTTAATCTCCATTTTCTTTTGGTTGTTTTACATTCAATTCTAGAAATTTATCACTACCATACTTTACGAAATTAATTTCATTTAAATAATGACAACAGTAATGAGTGTAATAATCTTTCCTAATTATTTTCTTGTCAGTCTTGTCTAGATAATAATAATAATAATAATAATAATAATAATAATAATAATAATAATAATAATAATAATAATTTGGATTTGTAAAGCACAAATTTCTATGCGCTAGAAATTTTCAAATTAAAATAAACATGCCTACCATGCCTACCATAAGCTTTTTTTTTTTTTTACCTCGCTCTAACTTGTTATGTATTTTAATTTGAAGAAAATAAATGTTACTTTGAATGAATGAATAATGAACTCTATATTTTTACAATTTTATTTTTCATTGACATAGCCTTTGACTGTTAATTCTAGATTAACAATTCTCTTTAATTTCTTTGAAAATTCACATCTATTAAAGCAATTAAAATATGTTTAACTCATTTAAATAATTTAAAATCCTGCCACACTTGTTTCACATTATCCCCTCCTATTTTAACCTTATTTTTAAATTAAGTTTATCTTTATGTAATGCACGTTTAACTCTCTTAGTTGGAATGCTCATATCAGTACAAATGTTTTTATATTGACAAACATAATTATTTTGCCAATTGAATTAAGTCATTAACACTACTAACAAAAACATCAATACAAATGAATATTGTTATTTTTGATATTTTTTGTTAAATTTATGAAATGCATATAATTATTACAGTACTTTTTATTGATATGTTATTAGTTTTATACTATCGTTGCTCAACTGTCTTACTGACTGTCTGTACAGGCCTTGTTATTTTTATTGGTTTATTTCTATACTCAATTTACTATATTACTATACACCGTAATTTCTTTAATTTATATTGTATTTTTTAAATAAACATCGTAATCTTTTAATTTATAGGCCTATTTCTTCTAAACACTACAATATATCTATTTAATTACATCGTAATCTTATATTTATAGTGTATTTCTACATTAACACTGCAATCTTTATATTTATATTTCCTAATAAACACCGTTATTTTTTTACAGAAGTAATTCCGCCTTCATCACCCAGTTCTCAGATTTGGATAGTGTTCATCATTATCCCATTTCTCATAATAGGCGTAGTTGTGTTTATACCCTGGTATTTTTTTAAGAAGCGTTCAAAAAATATCCATCGCTTGGATGACTTCGTAAGTTGTGTAAACATGTTTTAAACCAGCACAATTTTGTAATAGTTTTACTTCAATGCAATGTGTGTAACCTCATTGGCCGTCCTATTGGGAATGATGATTTATAGCCATATATGGTATGGAGTTATTGGTTACATCTTACTACGTAATCATTTTAGTTCAAAGTGCAGAGAGTCCAAAAAGTAGAATGTTGTCTTGCAAATGGACACATGAGATGCTGTGAGCAGCATCGCTCTGTGCCACACATCCTTCCACAATGTGGGTAGGTGCTGTGTCCGAGCATGTTGTATTCATTACAGTAACATCGATCGCAACATAAATAGCACTTACTTTATTACAATGGCAATGATAAGTTATACTGGTACTTATTCTAACCATGGAGGTATTATTGAGAAGGAGATCACTCGGCAACAGATCCCTTTGACGCGACAAACCTATGTGTTCCCCGCTTTTGGATCGCGCGCGGGCGTATTTTCGTTAGCAACAACTTGGCAACGACATGCATTTATACGCTTCCAGCAGAGCAGTTGTGCAATAAAACGTTTAATTTTAACCCATTACATATCTTTATAATGAACAATGTTCCCCTGATTAGATTTTTTCGGGCTTTTGGTATGTTATTATTTGTATATTTCAGGAACGGATTCCGTAAAATATTTATGTTAAAATTACTTCTGTGTTCATTATAATTTTGTCTAAAGATTGACTGGTTCGACTATAAAGCTAAGTCAGCGTAAAACTGAAAAATACTCAGATTTTGGATTCATTTTTCGAATAGTTAACCCTCGTTAACCCTAAAATGACGTAGTTTATTATAATCCTTAATCATTCATTAATTAATATCTGCTAAAATTAGAATTGGCGAATTTTGGCCAATTTATGAAAATTGAAGTTGAAATATACTATACTTTTATAGGTCATGTAAATGTTCCATTAAATTCGAAACTTTTCTTGGTGGAAAATATTAATATGTTTGATATTTTATGAGAGATAAATGTATCAGCTTCAAAATAGGAAAGATTGCGCAGCCATAGTGATTGACAGTATGTAGTGCGCGTTGAGAAAAGAAGGTGCTCTCCATTTCGTCGTGTTAAATTTTCTGGTCAACTATGCCTGCTGAAAATTTGATGGCGGGAAACACATGGGACTTCAAAGGCATCGCGCAAACGTTCTTTACGCGCTGCGGCAACTTTGATCCTGGTTCATTTGCATAGCGCTGCGTGCGCGTAGCTTTGCCGAGTGATCTCCTTCTCAATAATACCTCCATGTTCTAACAATGCATTCATTAATCAAAAATATATAAAAAATCTCAGCACTTACAAATCTAACCAAACAATTTATTAGTTCCAGCTTTCGTTACATTACGCGGGTTTCACAATTTATGGCATCACGTAACTTCGATTTTTCTAGATAAATAATAAGGTCATCAAAAAGGATCAGAAGAATGAGATAAATGTAGAGCAAGCACTGGATGATTTTGAAACGGTGGCTTATCTAAAAGAAGGTAGAAAACGGTTATTTTGTTTTAGTTTAAATATGAAGGTTCCCAGAGCCAACCAACACAATATAGTTGTATCCATGGGATGCATTTAATTCTTATACCATGAGTCCACTCAAAATAATTTTAAAGTTAAATTGATTTCTTTACGATTGATTCATAATAATACTTGCTTAATATAAACTGATCAATTTACTATTCTTAAAATAATTACCATATGTATCTTTATGTACTTGACAGTATACGAAACAATTACAAAAACAGCTTGTAGTGAATCTCTGGATTTTAAGAACGATAAAGTGATAATGGTTGCGAGAGGAGAGTGCATTAAGGCATCTTTTAAATCAAATTATAGTTCAGAACTTTCCTGCTTCAAAGAAAAAGACGGATACAATCATCCATTTCCTAATGTCTTCTTACTATCACGTACTTGGCCAGAAAACAGATTAAATGAATGTAAGCCTATTTCATCTGATACGAAAAGAGGGAACTATATTATTAATGACAGCTGTGGATCAATCGGATTTGAATTAAAGGGAAATATTAAAAAAGGTGCAACTGCAGAAGGATGCTTTAGTTTTACAGACGTCACTGATGATATTGAAGGACAATACGTATTCTTACTGCAGATAAAACACGCGGAACGTAAGAGTGGTACGAAACCAAAAACAAGACACTCATTTTTTGGAAAAACGTGCATTCAACTCACAAGTAAGTAACACTTAAACCAAACACAGCCAATGAAAAATTTATGTAGGCATTACTAAACAATGCTTCATCATTTTACTCCGATCCTATATACTCCGATCCTACAGTATAAATTATTTATTATTATATATTATTTTTTATTCAGATGCCATTTACAGGAACAAAATCCACAAAAAACAGTTCATCAGGTAGGATTATGGTTTGATTAGCTGCATAGTTATTCTAAGATTATATTGATATTCCTAGCCA